GTAATAAAACGCATAAAGCAAAAGTGTAGAGTAGCCTTAACTTTTAATGGTAAAAACACAAACATTTTCGGGCATCGCCCTTCATCAGGTGGTCATCAATCAGTAGATGCCTAAAAACATTATATGAAGAATGTATTTTTAGGCTGGAATAGTGAAGCATGTTCCCTATTGCTCACTATTTCAAATTAAAGAGCCATACTATCAGTGATTAAGGCTAGTTAATCTTATGCACCAATTTCAGATCTACTAAGGCTAGAAAATGTCCCGGGGGTATCCGCCCAGTCCTCTAGCCTTAGTACAGTAGTAGATTTGAAATTGGTGCCTAAGATTATAAAGAATAAATCACTGATAGTATGGCTCGGTAAATTAAAGTGGTGAGCAACAGGAAGCCCTTGTGATGGTTTTAACTATTTTTTTGTGGTTGTTAAGCCTGAGTTTACTTTCGGTTTCGCCTACAATATTTACCGTTATTACATTTAGTTCAAAATAGTTAAGTCTGAGTTTACATTCGATTTCGCCTACATAATTGCTGTTTATTACATTTTATTTCAAAAAGTAGCGTGCTGCGCTTTTGTACGACAATGACGACAAAATTCAAATTCGGCAAACTGGGTTCGGCAAACTGGGTTTCGGCAAACTGGGATTTTATGTTTTCAGTGAACTGGATTCAGCAAACTGGGTTTTCGGCAAAGTGGGCTAAATTCGGCAAAGTGGGCTAAATTCGGCAAACCTGGTTTCGACAAACGGGATTTCGACCAAGTGGGAGGATACCTTTATAATACAGTATCAGTAAAACACTGCTGTACAGTAATAATTCTGTAGATTTGAAATGTGTGTAAAAATAAGAACAAAATGATGTCCAAAGAAAAGCATGAAGAGAGACATGACTTAGAAATCAGGGTTCAGACTATCATTCAAATCCTGGATGAACGCACATTTTTTATGAAACAAAGAACAATCATTCTAATAAGTAAAGGGCAAATTTTGACAAAACTGGAAAGTATTTAGACAATTATACTGATAGTCCTCCTCTTAATTGGGTGTTCCCTTAATTGGAGTTGGTGCAGTGTCCCCTGAGTGTAGGGTTGCCGCAAAAGAGGGGTTTTAATATACTGTACTCACATTCAGGGCCGCCGAGAGCGGCCGCGGGCCATATGCGCTGCCTGGGCCCGTTGGCTGGGGGGTCCCAGCGGGATCGAGGGGCAGATCCCTGGTGGCTCCCCCCACCCACCAGAAGGTAAGGCCTTTTAACGGACTAGAGGACGGACTAACTTAATCAATCATAGAGTGCATAATTTCAACAGGTCATGAAAAAAAGTATAGAAACATGAAAAGTATAAAAGCTATCCTTCCTTTATACAAATGTGCTGAAAAGATTCATAACATAGGTATCAAAGTTTACAGTGGCAGATCCAGGAATTTGAAATAGAGGTAACCAAGAGAAGGGCTTTCACAGATGGACGGTTTATCTACCTCAGCCCCAACATGCTAAAGAAAACTTATGATTATGGCACCTCTGTATGTCTGGAAATGTCATTCTTAGACTTAAAGTTGAGTAGAATTTTCTTTTTTTTTCTCAATTTGTGTTAAATTGTTAAAAGTTTAGGGGGTGGGGCCAGGCCTCCCCTAAAATTAAGTGTATTAACCGGCATTAAATCACCTAAACTACTGTAGGCCTATAAACCAGCGTGTTTTTAATTTATTTTCTTTCTTTGAAATGTGTATATACTGTATACAGTGTATGTACTGTTACATCTCAAAAAGAAGCCTATACAATCTTAAAAAGAAGCCCATGGGTTTATTTTCGAGATGGGCTTCTTTTTGAGACTAGTTTTGGAAACTAAAGAGGGCTTCAATTCGAGATGGTCTTCTTCTCGACATTAGACACATTGGGCTTCAATTCGAGGTTTTACGGTATATTATCCTTTACTAGCGCAGGAACTGATTTTACACCAATATCTGGAAAGGTCATTACCCACCAGTCTAAGCATGCCCTCTTTCAATGCTATATTCATCTTACCACATTCCTCCAACATTTCATTAACAATACTGCCTTGACTACAATGACTCATGTCAATATCCTGTTTGGGACCCCCAAAAGGCTAAAAAATATCGACATTTCAGCATACAAAATATTTATTGACAATCACGAAATACCTGCAATCTGCAAAATTTTTAGGAGTACATTTAGACAGTGGACTCACATGGAAATCTCACATAAGTGAAGTTGAGAGTAAAATTTCCAAAAGCCTTGGCTTCATTTCTAGACTCTCTTCCTTTATTCCCTGTAATGTTCTTCGTATTCTCTACTGCTCTCTCATTCTTCCTTACTTTAACTACTGCAACATTGTTTGGGGCAATACATATCCATCTAACATCAACAAACTTCAAATTCTTAAAAAAAAAAGGCTATCAGGATCATATCTGGCTCTCCCCCACAATCTCATTCTTCCCATCTGTTTTCCAATCTAAATTTTCTCAAATTATACGATATTAATTTAATCCAGCAAAGTATATTTGTATACTCCATCATGCATTCGATCCTTCCCAAGCATTTAAGTAACATGTTTATGTCTAATTCCTCTTTTCACAATTATTATACACGTTCTAGAACTGATATTCACATCCCTTATCACAACACAAACTATTTCCAACATAACATTAGATATACGGGCCCCTCTATTTGGAACAACCTACCATTCTCAATTACCAATGCTGTTTCTGCCAGAGCCTTTTCTAATAAACTGAAAAAACACTTAATCTCAAATTATTAAACTTTCTGAGGTTAAAATTCTGCTGTTTTGTTTTGAGCTGCTTTCTCTTCTTTTTTCTATATATATTTATATTTTTTTATTTATTTATTTAATTTATTATTTATTTTTTTATCTTTTTTCAGGCCTGCCCATCACAAGATGTTTGTTTTTGCAAACAACTTCTCGGGACCTGGCCTTCTTCCAATTTTTGTATTTTGTATTTGTAATTTTGTATTTTTAAGTGTCTTTGGAAGAAAATAAATGTTTTGTTGAATTGAATTGAATATAGATCAAGTCTGGAGAGATTTTAACAGGGCAAGCTAATGTATTACCACAAATTGAAGATGCGTTAATATCACTCAAATCTATCCTTGCCAATTGAATGTCATATTTTCACCTACTGCATCAACCAGCTTTTCAAGGTTATCAAATAATTACTCCAACTGAAAGTTTCATCAGCATCATCATCACCACCATCATAATTAGGGTGGTAAAACCCCAACAAGTGACAAACCATCAATATCTGAAAGGTCATTGCCCTCCAGTTGAAGCAAGTTGTCTTTCAATACTACATTCATCCTACCACATTCCTCCATCATTTTATTAATACTGCCTGATAAACTGCAATGACTCGTGTGAATATGGATCAGGTCTGGAGAGATCTTAATAAGGCAAGCTAATGTCTTACCACTGATCGAAGACAGTTTAATATTACTCAAATCTATCCAATGCCAAGTCAATGTTTTATTTACAACACGTACTGATTCAATCAGATCTTGTAGGTTATCAGGTGTAATAAAATGAATATGCCAATTGAAATGAACTACAGAATAAGAGGAAAAAGGTACCATGTATGCCCTGATTAACTCTGCAAGTGACTTACCATCAATATCTGAAAGGTCATTGCCCTCCAGTCGAAGCAAGTTGTCTTTCAATACTACATTCATCCTACCACATTCCTCCATCATTTCCTTAACAATACTGCCTGATAAACTGCAATGACTCATGTCAATATGGATCAGGTCTGGAGAGATCTTAACAAGGCAAGCTAATGTTTTACCACTGATCGAAGACAGGTTAATATTACTCAATTCTATCTCATGCCAAGTCAATGTTTTATTTACAACACTTACTGATTCAATCAGATTTTGTAGGTTATCAGCTGTAAGAGAATGATCAAGCCAATTGATAATACCTTTATAATCAAGGAAAAAAGCTTTGATTAACTCTGCAAGTGACTTACCATCAATATCTGAAAGGTCATTGCCCTCCAGTCGAAGCAAGTTGTCTTTCAATACTACATTCATCCTACCACATTCCTCCATCATTTCCTTAACAATACTGCCTGATAAACTGCAATGACTCATGTCAAAATAGATCAGGTCTGGAGAGATCTTAACAAGGCAAGCTAATGTTTTACCGCTGATCGAAGACAGGTTAATATTACTCAATTCTATCTCACGCCAAGTCAATGTTTTATTTACAACACTTACTGATTCAATCAGATTTTGTAGGTTATCAGCTGTAAGAGAATGATCAAGCCAATTGAAAATACCTTTATAATCAAGGAAAAAAGCTTTGATTAACTCTGCAAGTGACTTACCATTAATATCTGAAAGGTCATTGCCCTTCAGTTGAAGCAAGTTGTCTTTCAATACTACATTCATCCTACCACATTCCTCCATCATTTCATTAACAATACTGCCTGATAAACTGCAATGACTCATGTCAATACGGATCAGGTCTGGAGAGAACTTAACAAGGCAAGCTAATGTTTTACCATTGATCGAAGACAGGTTAATATTACTCAATTCTATCCAATGCCAAGTCAATGTTTTATTTACAATACTTATTGATTCAATCAGATTTTGTAGGTTATCAGCTGTAAGAGAATGATCACTCCATTTGAAATGTAAGGTGTATGCCCTGATTAACTCTGCAAGTGACTTATCATTAATATCTGAAAGGTCATTGCCCTCCAGTTGAAGCAAGTTGTCTTTCACTACTACATTCATCCTACCACATTCCTCCATCATTTCATTAACAATACTGCCTGATAAACTGCAATGACTCATGTCAATATGGATCAGGTCTGGAGAGAACTTAACAAGGCAAGCTAATGTTTTACCACTGATCGAAGACAGGTTAATATTACTCAATTCTATCCAATGCCAAGTCAATGTTTTATTTACAACACTTAATGATTCAATCAGATTTTGTAGGTTATCAGCTGTAAGAGAATGATCACTCCATTTGAAATGTAAGGTGTATGCCCTGATTAACTCTGCAAGTGACTTACCATCAATATCTGAAAGGTCATTGCCCTTCAGTTGAAGAAACTTGTTGAAGAATACTACATTCATCCTACCACATTCCTCCATTATTGCCCTCACAATATCACCTGATAAACTACAACTGCTTAAATTTAGGTAATTTATTTCAGGAGCTATTTCAAATAGTTTTCCTAGTAATGTTCCATCGATATTATGTAGATCATTGCCCATAATATCAAGTTCTGTTAACTTCAACTTTACATTAGTTTTGTGTAACTCAATGATAACTACACTGAGTACAGACTCAGTAAGCTCACCCGAAGTGATACGTAAGTAAGAGAGGTTATTTGAATATGTCAGCAAATGAATCAAGAATGATGAATTAAATACATGGTTTAAATGGACAGTAGTGTAACCATAGTTCAAGTTGAGGTATTTCATCTCAGCAGAAAGGACATTAAGGTTTTCACTTTTCCAATTTGATAAATATTCAAATAACCGGTTTCCATATATACTTAACTTGGAGTTTCCGTAATTTATGCTTTCTACAATAACTAAGATTTGTACAAAACTTCTGCATAATGTCCTGAAAGTCTCTTCACTAGATGCATCTAACAGCGATATAAATTTCTCCACAAGTTTTTCAGATCTTCTCTCATACTTAGTGTAAATTTTGCTCATAAGTTTATATAAATGCTCACTTACTATGCTTTTATCATCCTTAAGGGCACTTCTGTATGTCTCAAGCATTTGCTTACAGTATGATTTCATTTCAGTGGACATGTTTTTATCCAATTCCTGTAGCACAGCTTCTTCATTTGCCTCCTTTATATGTGTGAAACATTGTGCTATTAACCAAAAATGTGAAGCCCTGATTACTAACCAATGTTTAAGCAATTTACCAGCTTTAGCACCTAGAAATCCTATTGTAAATGCTCTTGTCATATTTAAATATTCATTAGATCTTATCACCTCATATTCATCAGATTTCAAATGTTCTTCCTCAATTTGATTTGACAAATAAAAACCTGCTAGTGCCTCTGAAATTAACTTGTGTGGAGGTGTGTACATCTCTCTTACATCACCAGGATTAAAAGGGCTATTTTCATAAACAAATCCAATTTTCAATGCTAAATCTACAGAATCTATATTTTTTGTCATATTTGATAAAACATGTTTGTCAATAGACAATTTATTTCCCTTTAGGCCTTCATACATACATTCTCCTAATAGTAGAATAGCAAGTCTATACTGCTCTGGAACTCTCTCAATTTGGAAAATTGCAATCTTATCATCCGTCTTGTGTTTATATTGACTTAAAATGCAACAAATCAGTTCGATGAAAAGATCTGACAAGTCATTTGGAAGATGTTGTTTTTGTTCCCATATGGTACAAATCATAAGCAATAACAGTGGGGATGAGCACAATTCAAATGCCTCTTTATGATTACGACCCCAGTAACGTTCACGCTGTGACACAAGATTGAACTCCTTCATTAATAATTCCCCCAACTCACATTTGTTGATTGAATGAAAATGATCATGAATATACTTCTTTATGTTTCTTCTACTGAACCCCTTCACTTCAATATGTACAGTACAACATTTAATCAAATCAATTGTGTAGTCAGGTCGGGATGTTATCACCACAGTGCTTTTTTCTAATTCACGTCCTTTGAACAGATATATAGGGTCCTTAGCATCTTTGTGTAACTCATCATATCCATCTAACAAAATAACTATATCATCAGCATTATCGAGCAGAAATCTTTCAACTGAGTTAGTCGGCAAGTTGTGCTGAAGAATTAATTCATTTGTAGCTATGTTTTTTAGAATTAATTCCAAGATATCTGTACTTGTTTTAATGTCCCCAATATTGATCAGAAACAGTAATTTACCAGCAAAGGCATGTAAATCATCAGTAGCCCATTTATAAGTAATATATTTCAGAAGTGTAGTCTTGCCCATCCCTCCTCCTCCTGTTATTAATACCTTACATGAATCTTTTGATTTAATGATACCTAATACCTCTGTTAAAGATGTGGGTCTACCTTCCTTTCTTATACATGTTGATTTGAATTCATCTGGTTCTTCTTTGTCTTTCCTGTTGGATTCCAGTAAGATGAGTTGTGTGAATACTTCAGCAATATCTACTCTATGATGTCTATGCCAGATTGCTGGTGTCATTTGATTAACATCCTGATACAATTGCTTCAGCTTTCTTGTCAGAAATTCTTTGATAATTAAATCTGGAAACCAGTCAAAAAAAACATATTTCTGCAATTATCTATCTCATACAGAAATATTTTAAGATTTAAGTTATTAGTAACAAACATCCATTTTAAATTACACTTATTGTGTTGTATTGTATTAATTAATATTTATTCATTTTTATGCACAACCACATATTTAATGTTTTCTAAAACACAGAAATCAGAATTTTTAACAATTTCAGGTTTTTCCAGTTTATGAAAGAAGATATATAATATATTTTTTTTATTTACCATTTTATTCATTTAATCATACATTACATTCAAAATGAAAATAAACAAAAACAATTAAATAAGTTCCCCTTTTTTTCAATACTTAGAGTAGTATACATATAACAACATTGAACATTTTTATAAATTCTTTTACTAGTGAAAATATAATATTGTATTTCATATTCAAAACTTGTACCATTACGTTAGGTGAACTATTTATATACCAGAAGACCATGACTTGAAACATTTAAATATTCATTATTTATTTATCTTGTAATATTATAGTATCTAACAATTTCTCTCTTTATATTTGTTATATATGGTAATACTTTCTGTTTACTATTTCTATAGATAATTTCGTTTACTAATATAATAACAACATTTATACAGTTATTATTTTTCCCATTCATTCCAAGTATTATCATTTCCTTTGAAAATTGTAATTGTATTTGAAGGTTTTTATTTATCCAGCTTTCCAAACCTTTCCATATCTTATATATTTTTTCACAATCTCAAAAAAATGTGGTCAATGTACTTTAATCTATAGAGATAATTTCTCGTTGGTAATATATTATGTATAATTCTATACTGCAACCATTTCAGATTCGTACTCTCTGTGCATTTGATTGGTATTATATTAAACACTTCCCACTGTTTGTCAGTAAGCTCAAAGCCTAATATTTTTTCCCATTTGGAATTACACGGCAACTTAGTAAATTTTGAATTGGGCAGAGTATTGTAAAAAAAATTGCATCCCTTTCTAGAAATTTGTAATTGAATTATATTATTAGGGTAAATTGGATAGCATTGGGCGCTTGTGAATTTTCTTATATTATGCTTGCTCATATATGACCCTGTCTCTCACTGCCTGTTTAATTCCTTCATACACTAGAAATGATATATCGACAGAGTAAGTATCAATCAACTCTTCTAGTGTATAAAATCTACCGTTTCTATGAATTATATCATTAACAAAAACTATTCTTTTTTTGAAGAGTTTCATATACATGATAGGCTTATTATCAACAATTATATCATCATTATTCCATAGACATTGTGTTTGTAATTCTATTTCATTTCTAATATTACTCTTAAACATTTTGTTATACGATGCCCATGAATATAACATGTCTTTCCAAAAAAGGTTTGTAATGTTTGGAATAATTCGAGTAGTTATGTATTTACTGTCCGCAAACCAAAATAAGTTTCTATCATGAATTTTTTGGAAGAAAAGCTCGGTCCATTTACTTGTGAGAAGATATATTGAAAAACATAAATAAGGAATAAATATAAGCTGTTTTGAGTTGGACTAAAGTTTTAGTTATTCTTGTTTTTCTTTATGACATGCAGCATCAAACTTAAAATAACTACTTCTTAGTTGTTTTTTTTATCTTATTATTCTACTTTTTTACTTATGCTACTGTTCATACTTAATTTGATGTTGTCTTGTAATCAAATATGTAAGTGTTCTGCTGCTGAAAGTGGGTCCAAATAAATATTATTTATTATTATTCAACAGAGAGTGAAAAAGAAGGGACACATTACAAACAAAGACTAGGCATACACAGTGCCAGTCGTTGGCCAAGTCAATTCCATAGAAAATGCAACGCAACAAAGCATGCGCAACTGTTCGTTTTTACTAATCCACTAAGGCTGCCACTAACAATCAGCAGAGAATGTCACATAATCAAGCGATTACTGTGAGAAGAAAGGTATTCATCAATCGTCGCACTGTGTGTCTGGGTTTAGTCTCATTAGATCAAATTGTGAATTGTTTAAGTAATGTTAGATGAGAGTTAACAAGTAAACATTTTGATAAATATTGCAAACTATAATTAATGCTAGGAAAGAACGCAATGACATTTATAGCACTTTTGCATTGAAAAAATATTATCTCTATTTCTTGATACCAATGATTTTATTTTTTGTTTTATTTATTTATCTGTACGGCAATTCTAATTTAGGACCTTGTTGTACTACTGTAATTTTTGTTATTGTATTTTCTTTTCTTGTCTTCTGTGTAACTAGGTGACCTGTATAAACTTTTATTTTATTATAAAGTATTTTATATACTTGTATCTCATTTAATTAGGTCTATATACTGTAATTACGAACATCGAGTGTTCAAATGATGCAAAAGTGAATCCAATAAATGTTGTTTTGTATTGTAGAGCTAACTGTTGACTGGAGAAGCAATATCTTAAATTTTAAAATATGCTTTCATGTAACTGATACCTGGGTGGAGGTCTTCAGTGCCCCTAGCAGACTTTGTTAATTTCATTGTTAATGTTAATATTAAATTTGATATGGGAATAAATTTATACACCTGTCATCTACATTTATATCCATATTGTGAACCATGTGACTTATCTACTCTCTAGTGTGCAATATGTAACTAACTACTCTATAACTTATCTGTAAATTTAGTTTTATTAGGATGTATTTGTATTGAAATGTCAATATAATGCTAATAAATATTATATTGAATATATTACACACCTTCATCCAACGTCAATTTTTTCGGCAGTTCTGATCTTCCTGACTTGCCTGCAAAGAGAATAACCCACTTGGCATTATACAGCAAAACAATAGTGTGCAATAGTAATTTTCAGTATATCAGGTACAGTCCATAGTTTTTTTTTGAGTAGTACAGCAATTTAACATGCATTTATGCACTTGTGTACATAAGCTACTCTTGTGATGACCTAATGGGAAAATCCAAGGAAGTATACATGGAGCCTTTAGTAATGGTAATCAGTAGGCCCTGGGTTCAAATTCAAAGTCAATGTAAAATTGATTCATTCAAATATTTTGATACAGTCGCTGTTTTTCCCCACATAATGTAAACAATTAGTGCACTTACACTTGTATTATATGTAAATCAACATATTGATGTTTCGTTATTTCATTATTAACTACAAACCTTCATCACATATACGTCTTTTTCTTGGTCGTTTTGATTTCCCTGATTTACCTGTAAGAGAACAAAACAATAGGTGCAATTTTCCAGGGTTTAAAAATACCTCTACTTCTGGTTTAAAAGCTTATTATTAATAATAATAATAACAATAATAACAGTAACAAAAATAACAATAATATGTACTACCTGTTGTTTGATATTAAAGTAGAAATAAAATAACATTTAATGTAAATTTATTTATTGGCAGTACAAAGACTCAAACACAGGCCACAATGACACGGCTGAGGGTAAAGAGCAGTCTTATATAGAACTCAATTTACATTCAACCTAACTGGAGTTAAATTGTGTTAACATAATAATTTAATTACCAGTTTATTAAAGCCCAAGTCCTGGCAAATTTTATTTTTTAAGAAAAAAATGATTTTAAA